CAACTCTCTTGTTTGTTTTTGATTGGAGAAGCCAAACCACAGCTAACACGCTCGTAATACTACAGCAGAGATCAGCTGAATTCCTCCGCCGGAATACTCTTGGAGGATGCCCTGCTGGACAATTTTCAGGGGCACTGATTTGTATATACCTGATTATCATCGGTCATCGATTTTACGTGCCATATGCCTCACATCACAGTGGGTGTGGAGTTGGGGATGACCATCCTTCTGAAAGCACGACAATGTTTCTGAATGAGATGATCCACAGCCACGTGACTGGCGATGGAATTGTTTATGTGCTTCTTTTTTCCATCGTGAAGCTGGTGCAACTCCCATGCAGGGGCCATACGAGACTTAGACTTCAATGGTTTTTCATCCAGATGTATCCTATTGTATCCTCAAAGCCTTGACTGCCAGACATCATGAGGCAACACTCCAGTTGAACATCTAGTGCACATGGACTCTCATAAACCGATCGATGCTCATTCGTGATTGCAACTGATGGTGCTCTACTTCGCTCCCTTGGACGGTGTAGCATCACCTTCGGCCCTCCCTTGACTCCTTCGGCCCTCCTTGGCTCTCCTTTTTCGTAGAACTAGGTGGGAGAACAAGAGAACAAGGAGATCCCAGCAGACGAAGCTCATTTGGAGACTTCTGTTTCAAGGCTAGTTGACCAAAGGCCCAGCCTTGCATGCCAGCCTCTGGATGAAGTCAACCACTTTTTCACTGGTGAATCGATTGTGTACGGGAAGAAAGACGGTGATTTACCAAAAAGCACTAGTAACAAGTGCCTCGCTACTAGAAACAAGTGCCTTACTAGTAGTATCAATAAGAATTTAATTAGAATTGCAATTAAGGGTCGTCGTCGAGCCCTGGGACGTTCTGCGTTTGGTCGAAACCGCTGCTCGGATCGGAGCCACGCACCCCAACGAGACAAGTGGACAAGGGAGAAGTCCAAACGAGAGAAGGAACGAAGAACGACGAGGAAGAAGAGTAGAAGTCCAAACATCGATGTTAAGAAACACAGAGACACATCCGAGTCATTCACACACACACACACACTTGAATGAGTAGAACTGTTTAAATATCCTGATTTTTGAATCCTTTTCTTTTCTAACTTTGTAACTTTTATATAGACATTTCTTGCTAGTCTAGACTGTTTGGGTCCAGGTCTTCCCCTGTGCGCCCGAAAGCACAAAGGATGGACCGTGACAACGGGGGCACGAAATTGATTCGGACTAGCGGCCATCTGAAGTAAGCCCAATTTTGCCTGAGATTCTGGGACATGTGGTCATTTGAAAACTAGAAGCGATGCACTTGTTCCTAGTAGCTTCCTCGTCGGTCATTTGGTCTCGAGAAAGAAACTGCGCAACGACTTGAGCAGTTTTCCAACAGCGGTGAAAACACTAGTTTGTCTCACCTGTCGCCAGGCTTCTGGATAGCAGTGAGTCTGCGGTTTCCTCCCGTTCAGGGGATGGCCGTGGTCTAGCCTGGTGGGGGCCCTGAGTCAACGGGGGGCCCAGGGCCGCCCTCGAACCGGCCAGGGAGTCGTTGGAGAACCACGTCATAATTCATCCATTAGTTGTTGATGTAGAACAGCTGGGTCACCAAATCATCTCAACAGCGTGTAGGATTTGGTCACCAAATTATTCCCATGCAAATCACTGTGATTCACGTAGGCCGCCTATCATAATCATTAGGAAGGAGTTGGGTGAACTCTGGCTGCTTGGGACCTATCGCTCATTGAACAAACAGAGCTGGACCAAAGCAGGTCCAAGCTTAACTGAACAAACATAGCTGGAGCATAGAACAGAACACATAGTAGATCTGCAGGCGATCCACTCCACCGGACTTCTGATTGGGAGAAGGCGGTTCTGACAAATGCCTGGCATTTTTGGGCTGAAAGAGGTCCAGGTACTTTTCATATATTACTCGACTATATGACCCCTCTCTCTCTCTGTTTTGGACTCCTCCCTCCAACATACGCTTCCCGGAAGGACCGGACGGGGGTCGTTTTGGATGGAGTCCCCCCAAATGCCAGAGTAGCAAAAGCAACGGTCGTTCGGTGGGATGAACATGAAATGGGAGTTGGGCAGCTTTGGATGGATAGATGGACTAGTAACTAGTAGGCTCTAGTAGGTCTTTCTTGTCTTTCAACGATGCGACATGCCCCGTGGGTTCAGATCATCTGCTTGCATGAAGTATGTTTCTCAGTGGGGATCACTGGGCATGCCAGATGGATGGATGGATGGATGGATGGATGGATAGATCGATGGATAGGATTTTCCATACCAAAAGTCGGTAGACCGGTGACATCAATTGCTTGCTGATGCGGGAGACAGATGATGAGCATGACAACTCCTATGACACACACACAAGAAACGGTGAATGCGCAGAATGGGCCAGAATGCACATTTATTGAATTCTGAAGACAATCTTCTGCAGATGTGTCAGGTGGGCTTGGGAGTTCCAAAATGAGTATGTCCTTGGATCCATCCTGGCCTACGGTGGCGACATCCTCTCTGAAGATGAGGACTGGAAGTGGTGGAGATCCCTGCTTTCGGCCCCCTCTAATCATCTTCCAATCTGTTTTAGGATGTGAGGATACTGAAAAGTAAGACGCTTTAAGTGTGGTCTGTTAGTGCCCATAGTAGGCGGTGCTTTTCAAGGACTCACTTGGCTGATTCAAATTGGTTTGGTGATGACAGTTCGTGTGGGAACCTGTCCCGCAGACAACAAAGTTGTGTGTAGCCAAGGCCGAGGTCAATTCTGTAGGTGCTGGCTCATAACTTCGCCTCCAAAGAATGAACCTGTTTTGGGCTTCAATATGCCTCCCTGCATTTCGTGCACCAGTTCTCCAAATGCTCCATCTAGTGTGGGCTCAAGTTCCTCCTGTTCCAGCTTTCGACCGGTACACGACAGTTCTCAGTCGTCGTGGAGTCTTCAGCTTTCCGATGCCGGTAACATCACCGGGTCGATGTGCAGGATGAATCCGGCAAGGCCGCCATGGCCATGTGTCGGGCCTCCAAACTGTGCCGGCGCTGGTCGGAACATGTTTCGACTCGATCAAGAAGAATTACAGCGACAAAACGCACAAAGGGCTATTCCAGAGTCTTGCGTAAATTCTCAATCAACGTAATTACTACCTAATAGATACAGTAAGTTTTCGAAGCTGGGTCTCTATTGAACGCACGAGACTCGCAGTGCTGGCTGTGAGACGTGTTGCCTGAGGCACAGAGAATCCGGACTGCAATAAAGACAGCCTTGTACAGAAGGCCAAAAGCATGATGGAGGAGAACAACAGCCACATGCCTGACATGACTCACATGCCTGACATGTTGGGTGCTTTTCTTTCCAATTCAATGAGCTAAAAAAGGTATGTGACTCATGTGCCACATGTTTTTGGTTCATTACTGTTTTTTTTTTTTAACTTTATTCTTATGTTTTGTCGGATATTGCTTAGACACTTGTGATCAATTGTTTCAATTGTTGCAGCAATTTAATTGTTAAGGACAGAGTGTTGAATCTCGAAGTACAGTCAAGGATGCCTCGAAAGAGCATATAAATACGAACATCAAGTTGGCTGATTTGTAGGACCTCAAGAAGCGCAAGGAGCAGAGAGCAGCAGACAGAGAGAAGGCCAGGGGAAATCGTGGTAGTTTGAATTAAAGACACAAAGAAACTAGTGATGGCCTCCTACCTAATAGCAATGGCCTCCAACCTAAAAGCGATGGGATGGCCTCCAACCTAGAAAGCAGAAAGAAACTAAGGAGTTGATGCCAATCTCTGGTCGCATGAGGTACAGTGGTAGGGTCGGATGAGGAACATCATGGGACATCTCTGCACAGTGCATGCGCAAAGCCACTGCATGACCGATGTTGACTCGTCATGCCTGTGGGTTCCAGGATGACTTCGATGACGAAGAAGACGAAGAGCAACTTGGTTCAATGAGGTGAAGAGTTGGTCAAAACTTACTTCCGACTACTTCTATTTTGGGTGCGGTAGCAAGGAAGTGGCAGGTGACCACTTAGAACCTCACTGCCCATGGAGGTAGGGCAAGCAAACATTGGCAAACTGTCCCTCTTAGCAGCTTCTGCAAACTGCGGCTGCCCATAGAAGAAGAAGGCACTGGGTTTTAAGATGAATGCAGCTCCAGCTTCATCAGTTGAGGCTGGGAGATGACGAGTTCTGAGACGGCCGGGTGCTAGTGGATGCACTCCGCTGTCGATCGTCGCCGCCGTTTGCCCAAATCGATGAGGGGGAGCCATCGGCCAGCTCAGGAGTCGAATGAGCCGTTGCAAGGTGCCAACCAGGACATAATGTAGACTGTTAGTTGATTCAGTAAACACATATGAAGAGGTTTTCCAATCCATGTCACAAGGGGTCGTTGTGGGCGCGGACGTCCGCAAGTGCGCGCATCCATGTCTGGCAGACTTTTTTTGATCAAGAGTCTACATGAGGACCATCACTCGGACCCACGAAGCTCCGAAATCCTGGTGGCCGGGCCCAAATCCCTTGGACGATCGCTTTCCCAATTGCTGGTCGACACCGTCGACCGGTTGCCTGAAGTCGCAAGAGCTTCAAGGGGACGCGAGGCCGGAGAAACCGACGGGCTAAAAGCCTGAATTAAACCTCGAAAATGGTGCCTGAGTGCTTGGGTGAAGGGCATGATTGTCTTCAGTTGGCTCCACAGTCGTACGGAAGTGGGAGAAATTAGTTTGTGCACTTAGCGCTTAAGTGGCTCCATACCTACTGAGCTGTCGTGCCAGATTGTTTGTTACACAGTGTGTCATCTCCGCATGCGCAGGACATGTTTTCTTCAATTCTGTGTGCCGTATCTCAAGGGTAGTTCCGTCCCTTCAGCTGAACACCTCCGGCGGCCTGAAGTAGAGTAGCCGCAGCCGGAAGCTCGGATGTAGTTGAGACGTGCACTGTGCGCGCATCAGTTGTGCTTGCCGAAAATCATCCCGGTGGGAAAGAAAGTTGTCACTTCCAAGGCCATGCCGACGCCGGCGGACAAGAAGAAGATCGTCAAGAAGCGCACGAAGAAGTTCACCCGTTTCCAGGCTGACCACTTCAAGCGCATGAACCCAGCCTGGCGCAAGCCTAGAGGTATCGATGGTCGGGTGCGCAGACGATTCAAGGGCTCCACTCTCATGCCAAAGATTGGTTATGGCTCCGACAAGAAGACCCGGTTTCGCCTCAAGAATGGCTTCTACAAGTTCGTTGTGCGATGCCCGGCGGACCTAGAGATGCTTCTCATGCACAATGAGAAGTACTGCGTCGAAGTCGCCCACAACATTGGCGCCAAGAAGCGCAAGGAGATTGTGGAGCGGGCTGACCAGCTTCGCTTGCACGTCGGGGGCTTGGAATCTAGTTGTCTATTCATCAACCGAATACTGCTCACACCCAGGGAGACACTGGAAAGTTCATCAATTCGGAAGGAGTGAATGAGCAGGGTGCCTCCACCAGAGAGAACTGTTGCCTTCGGCATGTCACGTCATCGCGCGGTTCCACATGTTTCAACGTTTCAACCATCATTTTTTGACGAGTCAATCTCCACACGAGTCAATCTGTATCAGTCTATCCCAGACATGGTCACCAGACCCACACAAGCCCGATGTTGAGATGTTGATGTTGACACCGTTGTCAACTTGAGGCACCTCTGAAAGAAGCAATTTGCTTTAACTGTTGTCCAACACACTGAACAACAGTTCAATGACACTTGTCAAGTGTCTGCCCTGAATACTTGCAGGTTACCAATCGGCAGGCACGGTTACGAACTGAGGAGCAGGACTAGTGGCGGCCGCGAGAGGGATCTAGAGCTGAAAGGGGTATCAAAACAGTGTGTGCAGGTCGAGCTACGGCTGTTTGACGATGGTCCCCAAATGGACAGGCAATTTCCAAGACCTCTGTAGCGCAACACTTTGCTATATTTAGTGTTTTGTGGAGTTCACACAGTGCTGATCCGGGATCAGTTTGAATAGCCATCAAGCAAATCCGGGAACCCCTCAACTGAAAATCATGGATACTAGTCCCCATGCCATGCCAAGAGGTGTGGACGTCCACATCCCAGAGAATACGCGGTAAAAGTCCCGGAACCGCCATAGCTTTGAGTGGTATTGGTTCAAAAGTATGGATAATTAGTTACATAGGCTATTTTGGGGTTTGGACATGTTTAGATCGCCCAGTCCTTTTCAGGTGGTCTTGCCTTGATGTGCCGTATCTCAAGGGTAGTTCCGTCCCTTCAGCTGAACACCTCCGGCGGCCTGAAGTAGAGTAGCCGCAGCCGGAAGCTCGGATGTAGTTGAGACGTGCACTGTGCGCGCATCAGTTGTGCTTGCCGAAAATCATCCCGGTGGGAAAGAAAGTTGTCACTTCCAAGGCCATGCCGACGCCGGCGGACAAGAAGAAGATCGTCAAGAAGCGCACAAAGAAGTTCACCCGTTTCCAGGCTGACCGCTTCAAGCGCATGAACCCAGCCTGGCGCAAGCCTAGAGGTATCGATGGTCGGGTGCGCAGACGATTCAAGGGCTCCACTCTCATGCCAAAGATTGGTTATGGCTCCGACAAGAAGACCCGGTTTCGCCTCAAGAATGGCTTCTACAAGTTCGTTGTGCGATGCCCGGCGGACCTAGAGATGCTTCTCATGCACAATGAGAAGTACTGCGTCGAAGTCGCCCACAACATTGGCGCCAAGAAGCGCAAGGAGATTGTGGAGCGGGCTGACCAGCTTCGCTTGCACGTCGGGGGCTTGGAATCTAGTTGTCTATTCATCAACCGAATGCTGCTCACACCCAGGGAGACACTGGAAAGATCTGGATGGATTGTTGGAGGGTGACGAATGGAGAGTATAGGAACTACTTTTGGAGCATTGCAATTGCCTCACACCTGGGGAGCCACACATATGCACGAGGAACAGCAGATGTTTTCTGAAAAAAAGTGCAAGTAGGCCTTCTCGCAGAATAGCATGGACAAGACTATAAGCAGACCGGTGAGAACACGGGTAGATCTTGCTTGTTTCTCGTTGGAACTTGTTGACAGGTTCAGTTCTTTGGTCTAGTAAATCCAACCAATGGAAGACCATGCGAAGCAAATGCTCACTCTCTACCTTCAAGGTGACCAACCGAAATGCTCGCCTGAGAACAGAGGAGCAGGACTGAGAGGGGGAGACGTTCAGCAGAGTGTCGGCAAAAGAGCGAAGTGTCGGCAGTGTCGGGTGGATTTCTGGTGATGCACTAACATCCACAGAACTCCGTCTGAGCTGGCGAACCGCCAGTGAACAGTTCCAGCTCATCAAGTCCGTCACTGGAGACTGTCGCTGCTTTCTGTGTTTGTCGCTGCTCGTTCTCTTAAGCCGTAAGCTGTTGGCCCAGTTGGTGAGTGCGGGTTCGAAGGATTGCCTCCATACAGGTTTCGGAACGTCCGGTGTTGGCTGGGTGTCCTTTAGTAAGTGAGACCTGAAGCATAGGCCGTGAAGGGGAAACCCATCCCTTTGGTAGCAAGTCCTTCTGGGATTTGCCCCGGGGGATTTGCCCCGAGGTTTTGGATCACTTGCCCCTTTGGACTTGCATCTTTTGTCAGATTCTCATGTCAGGTTCCCCTTCCACGAAGCAACACGTGCGGCCATGTTCATTGATTTGAGCTCTTCGTGAGCCACAGCCGAGTCTCCGCCTCCAGTGATCCTGGCTCAAGACTGCGCCAGGAGGCAATAGAAGTGCCATTCTGGGCATGAAAGCGACTCAAATGTTCCACAGCTGGGCTGTGACCCGCATGTGTTCTCCAGCTTTCAGCTTGGAATGCGCATAGGAGCTGAGAGGATCATTCAGCACTCAACAACCATCAACAATTCCAAGCATCTCTCTCTATATATAATATATGTATATAAAATGTAACATTGAATATATTGACCTGTTGCTGCGATCAGTGTGTGCCTGGGATTTGGGCGGCAAAATGCAGCTACCACCGCATGAAGGCCAGGACTCCATCTATATAGTAGACATGTAGGTTTACACAGGTTTACAGATTACAGCACCAGGAAAGGCCTTTTTGCAACCATTGGAACCAAGGTCTACCATTGGAATCATAGGAACCAATTACTTTTTTATACATCTTTTTCATGACCACTTCACCGGATTCTTCAAAGGAAGCCAAGATCTTCATGGCGAAGTGGCCACCTTTGAATCCTTTCTTTCTGCTTTGTGTCTGTTTTTTCAGCGCAGCAACACAAAACAAGTGCTGGTCTGGCACTTCAGACTTCCAATATGAATCATGAGTCATCCACATCATACATCATCCACTCCTACGAACGACCCCATCCTCTCTGACCACCCAATCACTCGTGGTCCACGGGTCCACGGTCCACGGTCGCTCGCAGCTGCTGCCCACTCCTCGAAGATGCGGCCCTTGCCATCGGTGCACGGGGTTTTGTCTCCGGAGGTGTGTGTTTGGGTGCCCAGCTTGTTTGGACAATGCGTTTGGATTTTAGTGCTCCTTGGAAGCAAACTCAAGAAGCTACTATATATAGGTGGAAGCCATCGCTATTAGGTTGGAGGCCATTGCTACTAGTAGCAAGAAGCTACTAGTATCTCTTCAGATGTTTTTGGGCAATAGTTGCTCCTTTGAACCAGCATGCTACCCTGCCGGGGCGATTTGGTGGAGCAATTCTGTTGTTTCTGCCGGAACTTCAATGCCCAGCCGATTCCATCCATGACTTCGCCAGTGGTTCGGCGTTTTTCCGCCACGCCTTCCGTCTCGGAAGACCGAGGCCAAGGCCTTCTTCTCGACCACTTCGGGGGATTCCTTGAGGCACCCGGGACCACTGGTAGGAATAAGTCTGGTAGGAATGAGGTAGAAGTGATGGCCTCCAACCTAATAGCGATGGCAACCTAGAAGTGATGGCCTCCCACCTAATTGCTGGTAGGAATGAGTTCAGTTGTTGTTCGCTCTCTGGTGGAAAGGATCGGAGGATATGAGAGGAAGGCAGGAGACCGCAGGACGGACCAGACGAATGCAGGAACCACTTTGCCGATGGTCCAGTTAATGCGCAGATGGCAAGGACCGGGCCGAGCTGAGAAGGGACACTGAGAGCAGCTTTGATGGTCGTGGTGCAATGGAGAATCTGTGCTTAGAAGGATTTGAGGTTGCCATTGTAGTCTTGATGCTGCACAGTGCGCAGGGACAGAGAGCATTGTGATGAGAGAATAGTATAAAGAAGGCACTTCATGGGTGCATATTAGACTAGGGAATAGTCTATTTCTTCTTTTGCCAGGGGTCAAATTGAGGGACACTGTGAGGAGTTCATCCTTTCAATCCATCCTGCAACCGCCGACCAGATATCAGCCGGGGGTGCGGGGACACAGGAACATGCCCGAGGGCTGATCGTTTCGCTGAGAAACTGAACGACACAGAAACCGAAGCGGTTGTGGAACGGGCGTTCAGAGGGACGGAGATTCATCCTTTGGTGGGGAATAAATGCAAGTTTAGACTCTTTCAATTCAACATCATTTGCAACGGACAAGGTTCTTTCGACCACAATTACAAGTTTAGTTTCGACTCGATGGATTTATTTCTTTCCGGCTGCGGAGATTTTGGGCTCGTCTTTTGAGGTAGACAGTGGCATGAGAAGGTCAATGTGTACGTACCATTCCACCTTTACGCCTTGCTCTTTGGATGCATGGGGTCCGCTTCTCAGAGCATCTGCATCTCGCTGACGAGTACCAGGGTACCATCGCCAGTTAGGCCTTTGTTGAGAAGAGAGTACCTTTTTTGGCCAAGAACTCTGAAGATGGCTGCTAGAGATACTGAGATCCTCACATTACTCACACTACACCTCCACCTGTAGATCCTTTCCTTTCATGCTCCCGTAAACATAAACGGGAGCCCCGCTGAAGGCCCCGTGTTCTCGCCGTTCCGGCCGTCTCCCGTCTCGAAGGTCCCACGAATGAGCTTCGGGAACTCTACAAGCAGCAGTCGCGGGGTGCTGGTGCCAATGCTCCGAAACCTCCACTCTCAGCAGCCGGGGGGCACAGAGGATGAAGGGATGGGTGGTCAGAGTCCGAGTCCTAGGGGACTGGCGGCCTAGCGTACACTTCATGGCACTTGGGAAGTCGTGGTGTTTCACCTAGGACCCGAGGTTTTCGGGGTGTGTAGCCAGCCCCCAAGGGAGCTAGGGTCACTTGGTCACATTGCAGAATGGTACAGCAGTGGTTCCAGGGCACAGCCCATGCCCAAGCTCTTGGAAGCTCGATTTGGCGATCAGCTTATGTATATCAGCTTGCTGACTTCCCTGGCATACTGGAGGAAGAGCCAATTCCTCATCAACAGGCATTCCCAAAGTCATTGCTTTTGAACATTAATTTTGATTACGTAGTACGTCTTGAACAGTACCAGATTTATGACTCAGAGTATTCAGAATGTGGGTATTATTTTGTCTGAGGACGCTTTAATGCTTCAGGACATTTCGAGTCTTCTCCCTCCCGCGAGAAGTCTGAGGTCACGACAACGAAGTCCTCGTACCCTGCATATGTACGGAGCTTGGAGAGCTTGGAGAGTCCGAGAGGCGTCCGAGAATCGTCCGAGCCGCCCTCCCTCAAGTCGGAAGGAGGATGCCATTCCCAACAGCCTTTTTCCACAAGGTAGACCCAGTATTCAGATCATGAGACCTTTTGGATGTGTAAATATATACGGCACGCCCTTGCGCTACAGCCACAGAAGAGTGTGGGGCTGGCACCCAGGATGCCCAAGCTTCCAATGCAGTGCTTAGCAAGACCCAGCGGCCCCATGAGGCCGGAAAGCGTAAGAGCTGGTTCTGGGGAAGTGAAGTATCCCTCAAAGATTTACCTCACTTTGAAGTGGAAACAACACGTTGGGTCAGGTCCGCTTCTGCTTTACTTCTTGCTTTTTAAATCCGCTGTTGTTGTGGCGGGGTCTCAAATTGCTCACGACCATCGAATTTATGGAGGCACTAGATAGATGCCACATCCAGAATCCGCGAACTATACATACATACGACATCATACGACAACAGGAGTCAAATAGATGCAGACTCATACGATCTCATTTGTCTACTTGAGCGACCATGGGTGAATCAGGCTGCACTTTGAATTACGACAGTGGAGATCTACTCCTTTTGCACTTTGCATATCATGATGAACACTCTTCTTCGGTTTTGGGAAGTACCGTTCCCTGATTTTTTTCGCGGTCTTGAATCCTTTTTCGATCTTCTTCGATCTTCAGCAGGTGGTGCATGTGGATCCCTCGGCCAAGTTCCTGGAAAGCTCTTCGGTTCTTCATCGGGACTTCCGACGCTTTGATCAGAAGCAGATGTCAGCGCCTCAGCGCCTCAATCAAGAAACGAATCGAGAAAAGCACTTCCTTAGCGGAAGTAAGGAGTAGTGCTTGAATGTTCGGACAAAAGGGTAGAGCATTCTTTCTTTTGGTGATTCTGAAGTGGATTCACTCACCAATGTTTGGTTTGCGGGTCGTCAAGACCTCAAACTTAAACAAGCTAAAACAATCTAAAACATTGCTGTACCATCCCATGCTGTTGTTTTTTGCCAGCACAATGGCCGAGATGCTCATGATGATGTGTATGACCAAATATGGAGGGAAGGTTTAGCTTGGGATTTCAACTGAACAAGATGGAACCCACGAACCCGAATGCAAACACGTTCGACAAACTAATATGTCCAAATCACACTCTTGTAGGACACTCTTGCGGGACACTCTGTAGGACACTCTTGTAGCACACTCTTGTGGGACACTCTTGTGGGTCACTCTTGTGGGAAACTCTTGTGGGACACTCTTGTGGGACACTCTGTGGGACACTCTTGTGGGACTCTCTTGTGGGACACTCTTGTAGGA